GACGCAAGGGTCGAAGATAAAATTCGTAGCCATGCACGCCTATGTATCATCCTTCATACAACCTCTCATACTTTATCAGTCTTTCCATCCACAGTAAATTCCAAAAAGTTCGTTGCATCTCTCTCAGCCTGATCTGCTGCGGGTACTTCTGAGTATATCAAAGCGCCTGGAAATACAATTAACAGAAACTTGACATTTTGAACGAAAACACATCAACAAAAATTAAATTTTTGCCTAACTTCGCTGTGTGATTGGTCCAGAAAACTACCGCCACTCTCTCCACCAATCAGATGTAAAACTTCGGTTTTACCTTGAACTCTAATTGGCTCTTAAAGTTATTTTCCTTTCTTCTGATTGGCTGTTATGATTCCTGTGGTTTTGCTTTACGACGCTCAAGCAAAAAGCGCTTTAACGCTCTAATCTTCCAACGAAGGAAAATACCTAGGCTCTCCCAGATTGAATATCCTCATTGACATATCAGAATATAATATTCGGGAAGACGTTGTTGTTTTAAAAAACTCACCTCTTTCGGGAGATTCCTGCTCATCCTGAAATCCAAGCCATGCTCTAAAAAAAGGCACATATTATTGTTGTGACGCTTGAAAGAGGAGTTAGGTTCACGAAAACCGACAAAAGCACGAAAATGTGAGAAAGGCAAAGACATGTTGCATTACTTTCAGATAAAAAATAGACGGTAGGAGAGGAGAGAAATGGTTCACGTTCTTTTTTAACACTTAGATAAAAACACACTGAAAAGGCATACCTGAGGTCTTTCAGCGGTGTATCTTCCAAACTCTCAACAACCAGCTGAAGTTCATAAAGCTCGTTTATGAGGGCGGGTCGTTCATGCTTCAGTGTGATATTAACTTTAGGCTTGCGCGGTTCAATTCTGGCGTAAAGAGTTCGCGAAGGGAACTGACATCAACAATAAATTCCACCTTGTTGGGGTCGTAATTTTCATTTGACTGATTACTTTCCGAAGAACTCTCAGTGCCATGTTATTCAAGCCTGTAAGCAATTATCATTCAAGTGGATACCGTTCTTTGCACGCACTGATTGGCTAAGTAGGAGGTAGATACGTTGAAAATGTTTTGGACCCCTAGTTATTCAGTTTTTGTGGTACAAACTGAAATAACAATTCACCTCTATGTCTGTTAATAATTGTTAATATTTACTCCACTCCGTAGCTAAAGATTCAATGGAAAACAAGCATGACTTACTTAATTTTCGAGATGACCTTCAACTCATCCCAGTCAAACTGATCCTCCTTGCTAGCGGAATTTAAACCGTATGACACAAAGGGGAGACTTTGATTACCAGTCTCCCCTCCCCAGCCACTCTACACCAGTACAGCACACCGAGACTCACGGGACCCCAACTCCAAAGCAACGGAGGTGACCTAGGAACCACAACGAAGAAAGCTTAAATCTGAAGTCTCTTTTAAAGCAGTCTCCTCCGGAAAAAAGTTTTCTGTCAAACTTTGCCGGTGACACTACCGAGAGATCTGGGTTTGAGTCCTGGGTTGGGATCACTGAGTAATGTTCCTGGGCAAAAATTCTTTACTCTACACCTAGGAATGATAAAGTGCGGGAAGCGGGG